GCAGAATTTGCAGCTCCAAAGGGAGTTGGAGCTCTTAAGACAGCAAGTGGCGCTATTCATTCAAGTGACGGGGCTGGCCCCCGCCGCTCTTGCGGCTGCCGGCATGTCGCCGACAAACACCCACGCCTACTCTGCACAGCATCCCACCATGCTAGCGCCGCCTCCGCAGCCTCAGCCGGCCCCACCCTCGACCCTGCAGCAGCAGCTGTCGCCGCCGGCGCAGCAGCAGCAGCAGCAACATCAACAACAACAAATCTCAGCTGTCGTTATGGCCGGTGTTGGCGGCGGCGCTGGCAGCTTGCCGCCACATCCAGGCAGTGTTGCACCGCAGGCTGCCGCACTCTTCCGCAACGCAGCCGTCAGTCACGGGGCGGGTAGCGGTGGGCAGGCCGCGTTCGTACACACGGCGTCGCAGCAGCAGCAACAGCAGCAGCAGCAGCAACAGCAGCAACAGCAACAGCAGCAACAGCAGCATGCGATGCTTTCCCACGCCCACAGCGCTTGCATGGGGCCCACAGCAACTGGAGGAGTGTCTGTGTCTCCGTCGGCCCATGGCTTCACGGCGGGAGGGCACGCGAACCTATGGGCCGAGGCGGCGTCGGGCTCGAACAGCACGTCGGATAGACAGCAAGTTGTTCGGATGGGTTTCTTCGGGTCTGACCACTTGTTTGACCTACGTTACAAGGAGTGGTAATTTCGCATTCACGGCATTCGTTAGGGCGCAGGCGGGTAGGTCTGATGCTGAAATCGTCTTCCCGCTGTTCAGCGGCCGCGTGTGAACTGTACCGTTCAGCGCCCCGCCAGGGGGTCCGTAGCGCCGACAGGAGCGCAATTAATACCGTTTTTTGTCCGTTCGGCGTCCGCGTTCCCCGCTGAAGCTGCCTTCGTTGCGCAGAAGCCGCCGCGCTTCATGTAGCTCACCCTTCCTATTTGACCCTATCTAACCCTGTTTGAAACCGTGGGTGGCCACTTCAGGGGAGTCTTGCGGCTGTGGCAGGGCCAGGGGCTCCTCCAGGGCCCATGTCAGCGCCGCCGTCGTCCAATCGCCACAAGCGGTCTGCTTCGATTGACGTGTCCTCCCTGATTGCGACGCGGGACGGCATAGGGCCCGCGAAGGA